CTACCTCCGCCAGCAGGACCTCAATTTCAGACTCAGTAAAGTTTTTTCCTTCTTCTTTGTGCTTGTCATTTTCAAGCATAGAAAGTCGGATATAAACATTTGTTTATATTTACACAGTTTACTAATGCTGCTCAAATGTGCCATTAATGTACGGACACAAAAATATATAGGGGGAGCGCGGGGCACAAAGTAACGCGGGGTAAGTTGTAACACACGTAGTTTAAATATTTCCACACATGCTAGCATAACCAAATTTTCAGCATTTACTAGTTACCATATCAACATTATATAGAGAAAAAAAGTGCACCAAAATTCAGAAGTTTTTTTGAAGATATCGCTGAACATTTATTTTACCATAGTAAAATTATATTTCTGGTTTAAGTACATTTTTCATCTCAGTTTTTATTACTCATTTAAAATGAGACAAATCTGCTATTATTTTAATCTCCAATCTGTTATTGATCAGTTCTGATTATTTTTTTTAATGCTTCGCTAAGTATCAGAAGACAGTAACCGGTTTTAAATTCACTGTAATTATGAAACAAAGTGACATATTTGTACTAGACAAGTGTGAAATTACTGCGGATAAAAAAATTCTACTCTGAACCCCATGTGGATTTACACAAACTGAGAAAGTCAAAAAGTGTTACTTTGTGCCCCGCTCTCCCCCTAGTGTATTTTATACAAATAGGCTATAACTGATGTAAATGACAAAAACAAAGTTTAAGGCTGATGTCTCTATTCATTTTCACAAAAGCAAAGCAGCAGATATTATAAATAAAAGCAGTTAACAATGTTATTGCATAGAATATATTAAAACTGTTATTGCACGACATAGGCCTATATAGGCTACACCGACAAAACAGTCGGAGATGCGTTTATGCATTTTCTGTTTTACGCATTAGTAGTAAATCAAGACTTCGCAAGTTCTCTTGTAAAATAAGATAATAAAAAACAACAACATGCAATAAACTGTACAGAAAGCGAGTAAAGAACTCTCAACATTAGGCTACTAAAAAGGTCAGTTTAATCTCGCTAAAACTCCCGTTAATAAAAAATCTGACTACACTGCACATTAATCTCTTACACTGCATCAATTCAGTGCTTGCACGTACACCGCTTTTATTATTATTGCAGCTTAGATGTTCAAATAGCTGCAGTACTCCGACTTTTGCAACATTGTTATTATATATATATATATATATATATACTTATTTATTTTATTTTATTTTGTATTATTATTATTATTATTATTGTATTTTATTCAGACCCTGACGTGGCGGTAAGTACTTTTCCACGTCAAAGACCGTTTTTATAAATATGAACGTTGCCGTGGATTTTAGCATACGCACACTCTAAGATCAAATCTGTGCGTACGCACATTTTATAAATGAGGCCCCACGAATCTGAGACAGGCAACATGCTCAGCTCGTTTAGGAAGCTCATCATCTCCATTGTTATTTTAGATCTGATCTTATGAGGTGCGCTCATAAATAAGAAGAATTTGTTTAAAAGAACACTTTAATGCCCTACCCATATGAGATATAGTCCTACCCTTTGATATTGCATTTTTAAAAAAAGTTGATTGAAGCATAGGCTAGTTCTGTAAAAATAAATTTAAATCAGCCGAAAATAAATGAATCTGCTCATATATGTTCACTTTTTTTCACTATTTTTTTTCCAAATTACGCAAAGGACTGCAAAATGCGCTGTTTTGGAGATGTAATTTATTTTGAAAACGAGGCTATAAGGGATAGATGTAGAGTCTGTTCAGTAAGGTTCATTTAAATCATCTATCATGCAAAAGGAAATGCTGCAGTTGCAGGCGTGTCCATCATCAGCACCACAGCACATTTCATACTGGCCTAAATTCCTGCATCCAAATGTGCACGTCAATGAAAACATATAGGCTACAGTAGGGTAGGGAATTTTAATAAGTTAAAGCAGGTAGACATTTTAGGCCTATATTAAATTCTTATTAATTTTAAAAGCGTCACCACTCTGCTGCAAACAAACAAAATCATCTTAAAACAGCCTAAGGTAGTCTGCTGGTCTTATAGCTGGATTAAATTGGTCTCATATCCTGGCCAAACTGGTTAAACTGGCTAAACAGCCTTGTTAAGCTTATTCAGCATGTCTTTTAGTTTGACGAGTTTAAAAGTGACCTTTAAAACCAGGCAACAGACCAGCCAGCAGCCAGACTGGTAACCTTTATAAATAAAGTAATGTATCGCGTTGTCTCCACCATGATATATGACCTAGGAAGTCAATCAATCTAAATAATCACTCACTCAGAAATTCGTGATTATTTAGTACAGAAACTACATTGCGTTTGAGGCGGTGTTCGCCGGGTGATGGTGGGGGTGGTTTGCAGGAAACAATTATGGAAACACTCCTCAAGCACAGGGTCTGGGTTATAGCCGCATTATAGAAGAAGACACCTAGAAAGAGGGCCAGCCTAAACAACCTGCCGTCATCACACAGAACAGCTATACCCCATAATCAATATTTGAATTGACATAGCCTACTTTACATATAGGATTGTTTCAAAGCTCACACAGGCGTATAAGAATGCAGAATATCCACAAGACTGTTTGAAATCAAATTAATTTACTCGAAATAAATTTAGACGATATCCAGGGTAAATAAGGGCACAAAACTAAAGAGAAAGAGAGAGAGGGGAGGACTCCTTGTGACCTTGTCCCCTTTGGATCTGCATCAATGGCCCTGTCTTTAAACGCAGAAGAAAAAAAAAATGTATCGACTTAAAAGACAACAGATGTAGGCTAGGTCGAACTAGCCTTTTCCATGCGCGACAATAAGCGTTAATATTAAACTAAAACCAAAAATCCAATTACTCAAGACATTTGCTATAAAAGCGGAGACCTTTGGGTTGGCAATTGTGGTTCTGTTTTTTGAGCATCATGACGTTTGGCATCTGCTTGGCATTCATGTCGACGAACGAATTGCGTGAGAGAAACACTATTAAAATACTCCAAAGCAATTTCCCAGGAAAAGCAGCATTTCCAAAATATTCCAGATCAGCTCCTGCTTTCGGTATTAATTTTTTTTAGCTATAATGATTATCCAATGACTCGTTTACTTAATAATATATAGATTTCATGATATTTCTTTTTATATTTAAAATAAAATAATAATTATTATTGATTGATTGATTGATTGATTTAAATAGGCTAGTTTTAGAAGGCTACGGTTACCATTTCTCCGTCATCACAGAAGTGTCCAAATCACAAGGTCTTTGCATTTTCTCCGCGGTGTCAGGTAGACCAGACGCAATTCCAGGCGTCAGAGAGGCTCGCGCCGTTGTTGAGCCAGTTGTATTGATGAAATGCAGTCATAGCGAAGACAAGGACTTCATCAATCATGCCAAATTATAGCCAAAACTCTGCCATTAGACCTGAGAGACATAACGTCCCCACAGATAAACAACATTGTAACGACAAGCCTTTGATAAATCCATGGAAATAAACGAAAAAGAATGGGTAGGCCTATTCTATATATTGCAAAAATAACGTGTAGGCTATTTTGATTAAATAAAACTTTTATTGTTTTTACTATTTAACTTGTTGATGATGACAGACTATTCGAGGTCGGGCAAAGTAATAAAACGAATCATAGCCAGCCTAGTTTGTTTTATTAGGAGTAAAGGGAAACCGGCGGTTATCACACTTTTTACACTAGTCATTTGTTAGCCAGCCTAGTTTGTTTTATTAGGAGTAAAGGGAAATCATCACACTTTTATCACACTTTTTACACTAGTCAGTATTTGTCATAAATCAGTATAGGTTTATTTTTGAAAGATAATTTATGGGCGATTAACTAAACGTTTTAGCTAAAAAAAACAAAAAAAAACAATTTTTTATTTATTTTTTGCTGTTGTTCTTTTAAACAACAACTACTGTAGTTCTCCTAATCGTAATTGCATAAATGTGTAGGATTTAAAACGCATGACAACTCGCCCATACTTTTATATCCTTGCACACAGTGTGCGTCTTTTCAATTAAATATATCAGTTTCTTGTATACAAGCTTAAATCTCAGTGTGAATCAAGTGAATTGTCTAATAATCACATACTCTTTTGCGTCAAATGAACTGGGAAACGATAATTATCTTGTGATGTCTTTCCTATGCTAAATCATCTTGGGGCGAAAAAAATAGTATAAACCATTACATTTAATGCGATAATAGTTTTGTCTGTGCGGTAAATGTCTGCTCTCTTATTTCTAAGAAGAAATGCATATAGATTGTTTAAATGAAGGTAGTCGCGTAATTTATTTAAATGGCAATTTAAGAAAAACACATTCCTAACGTAAGTTAAAGGCATAATCTAGGATGTTCAACGCGTGAATATTATATATATATATATATATATTTTTTCCAATCAATGAAAATATCGTATTTAATTTAAACATGCATTTTTTTATGCTAATGATCAGTGGACACACAATGAACAAGTGACTATGAAAACAGTGATTTTTCAAAGTTTTATTTTTTTAATACAATCTATAAGTGCTTAAGTCCAGTGTTATCATTCTGAAATCTATATTAAACAAATCCTTTCTGCAATTTAACTACAGTTAAGCAGGTTTGTTTAAATAGAATTGCATTTGCTGGATAAATACCTAATTAATGCAGAGTCAAATAAAAAGAGACAGATGAGCTGTAATCTGTTATTAAAATTACAGTTAATTCAGCACTGAATAACAGTGGTCAGAATTATGTAGTTGTTGCCATAACATTTCACAAATAAATGCTGCAGCAGTTTTCTGAGTGGTTGAGTGCTCATAGTATTGTGACATGGTAAATATGTAAAAAAAAAGTGCAAAAGGAGAGAATTTACTCTTTTAATTAAGGGAAAAACCACAACTCTTAGTTAAAATACTCCAAAATAAAATTTAATGTTTATAAATCTCTATACTTAAATATATACATTATGTGCAAATAAAATGTCCAACATTAAATTAAACTATGCAGTGTGTGAATAATAATAATTTTTACGTGTTATTGTGTATATATTTAGTATTTTATCCTCACTTATTGGCACCCAATTGTAGTAAGTCTGAATAAAAGAAAAAAGAAAAATACCCACATTTATGAGCTGAGAGTAAATATTCACCTAAAAGACATGATGTCCAATGAATTATCTGAGAAATAGAAAAGGCTTCTCTCGAACATACTTACGATGTTCAGATGAAACAGATAGCTGATTTAATTTGCTTGTATATGAAGTATGTGTGTGTATGTCATTTATATGATTGGAAAATGGTCTAACAGAATGTGATGAACAACAACACAAAAAAGAACGTAAAAAAAAAAAAACTGTAGAAAGGAAGGACCAAAAAAGGTACCAAACCTATGAAATATACATAAAAAAAAAATCAGTGCATACAATGTCTCACAGGATTTCAATCTTCTCAAGGAAGATGAGAAATGTGACAATGCACAGACACAAAGTCTCCTAAAACAAGAAAAGTACACACAGAATTAAAATTAAAAAAATGCTTTTGTTCATAATCAATATTATAGGTGTGCTGTTTTAGTCTGTCAATTCTTTGATATCACAGTGACTGTAGACTGAATGTCTTAGACTTGCCTGAATTTTGTAGATATGGCAAAAAAGCTGACATTCATTTGATACGCATGAGAGGTTTCCAAATTAGAATGAGGGGAAAAAAAAATAGATGTCTTTGTAAATATGACGCAGGCCCCATAAATTCTACATTCAGATTTAACTGACTTCATAGCTTATCTCATATATCTTCATGTAGCTACATGGTTTTGCATGTTTAAGCGGGTTGTGGTAGATAAACCTTGTCGCTACCATTGCTAGCCTGCTAACAAATGACTTGCTTTGCTGATTCTTCACATTGTGGCTGTCCTCCACTCCTTTGCAATGCAGCACATCATATCAAGGGCTTCACTCACAAGACTTCAGTTTAAAATGACCTGCAGAGTTCTGACAGTGCTTCTTCCAGCTTCAAGCAGAATCCTTCCTAGTGCAGTCGCTAATGTTTTATGTGCCAGCAGTCTCTCTCTAACATGTCAAGCGCTGTAGTGCCTAGGCCGCCACGTGGCCGATCAGATAGATGTTGTCATAGAGGTGCCCTACAAAGTCCTCGCTGATGTTCTGAGCAGCCCGCCGTGTGTTTCGGATAAACTCCCTCTTGGACATCTTGTTCTTTACGTGAGGGCTGGTCAGATCGATGGAGAGAAGGATGAGGGAGTAGCACAGCACGTACACTGCATCTGCAAAAAACAGAAGAGAGAGGTGTGTTTGTTTATGGCGTTTAGCATAATTAACGTTGTAACCCCCTCTTCAAATAAAAATGTTTGCATTATGCAGAAACCTCATTAATAAAGGCATATGTAAAATGATTCTTAAATGTTTCTACGGACAATTTATAAAGCTTCCATAAGTACAAAACAGTTTCCTAAATGCATCCCGCTTTTCAAAGGTGCAGTTAATCTCAAATTCAAGCGCAATGAGAACAAGCGCATCAACTCATCTACAGAACAGCCACAAATATTTCTTTATGGTTCAGTCTCATTTTAATGTACTTATACATTATATATTTTTTTATAAATTAATTTAATTTCACTGATATAATTATCACAAAGCAGTTGCTCATTTATATTAATTTATATTAATGCAAACTGTGATAGTCTATTTATCGTTACATTTTAACAGACAATGTTGGATTATTTAATTTACTGGTATACATGAGTGCAAAAAGTTTGTAGTTGCTGTACATAACAACATTTTCACTTGAGTTTTTCCCTTTATAAATCCTGATTTGCTCCTCACGTTTGACAGGATGAAATGCATTGTACATGTAGATTGTACATGCATTTTTTTGTACGAGGTCCCTGTTCTGCATACTTCTGAGAATTTCTCCAAAATTCTCTTTCATTCATACCTACACACATCTGTTTAAATCTTTGATGTTACTATGAGAACGTAAAGATTGAAAAAAAAAAAAAAAAGATGGAAGAGTGAGTTCCGTCAGTAATTTATAATAAATCTTCCAGCTTGTACAGTAGTACACATGCACTACAAGTCACATGTTATTGCAGAAGATAACTCTGATTGGTTAGACTCAGAGCTGGGTCCTCGTTTGCTAACACTTTAAGCCAGCAGGCTTAGCGCAGATTTAGAAGCAAATGAAAGTGTTAGTACAAGGATTTCTCACATGTTGCTTATACAAAGACAAGATCATGCAGATAGAGCTACCGACTATTAAAATATGGTTGACAAATCAACACATGACATCACAAATCCTGTGACTGTTTGTACCAATACTAAAACCAGGATTTCAGCTTTAAAGTGTACGTCACTTGTGACCTGCTGACACACCTGACAATCAGCAAAACAAATCACAGTGATCTTGATGTCACAGTTACACACTAGATCACTCTGTAGTATAAGTGCCAGTCCGGGATCTTTTATGACTGTGTTGTACTTCACTTACCAGGACTTAAGCCCACTTCCTGCACCAGAGTGGGGTTGCAGGCACAGAAACGATGAGAAAACTTAGTGATGAGGGTCTCCAGGTACTCGCCCCTCTCCTCCGGGGCATGAATGTGTCTGAAGAAGTCTCTCAGTGCATTAGGGAGGAACTGGTTACTAAAGTTATGAAGTGTGACAAGCTCATCCAAGACATCTCGCCTGCAAACACAGTAGTTTTAATTTACATTTTAATTCTTATCAGCAGCAGAATAGTATTTTTCCCTCCAAAACTAAATTTTAATCTACATTTTTGTAGTTATTATCAGCTGTACATTATTATTTATTCATAACGTAAATTTGTGTGTGTATAAATATATAAATTGACTGTGCCCTTATTTGTTTTCCTCCAAATATGAGCAAGGTTCATGGTATTGATATACATAGCTTGGTGTAAGTTATAAAACTGCAGGTCTTATACATTAATAATATATATATATAAAAAAAAAAACAAACAAACCGTTCATCAAGATAAATCCGCAGCATCTTCCAGTTCAGCATTCTGGTATAGAATATAAACTTGGCAATTTCCTTCGGGTGGTCCACAAGAATACCTCTGGACATGAAGTAACTGATACCCTGAATGAAAGAACCCACATAAAACAGGGTGTGGGGATTAGGAGGAAAAAAGAGAAGGAGGGGGCATGCTTTTTTTTTTACCAGACACCACGGTTTAGTCCGGAGCAAGGCTATCGCATGTCCTTTAAGTGAACAGCTAAAGCTTTGCTAATCTAACCTAAGACATGAGCGAGGGGGAGTCAAGACATTCAAATGCATCTTTGAACAGAAATGATGTTTTAAGAGCAGCTTGCATGAGAGAAAAGCCATCCATTTAGTTTTAATCCGGGTTGTGGTCTAAAAGCCTATGTCATGCACCATTATTCATTCTACGTGAGCTTGTAAAAATAATATATTTAGTCTGCAGTATGAACATTTCTGGCTTATGTGGGAATTTACAGGGTGGAGAAGGAAACCGTCATATTAATCATAGCTAGCTGGTCAGAATTGTATTTCCAAAGCACATCGTGGCTATGATCATTTCTCTGTTTCTTGCCCATTTAAACATTAAATGGTTTGGCCTGTAATTAAGAAGACATTATTGTGGCAAGACAGAACAAAAGCTTGTACTTTTTGTACCTCTTGCGGGTTGGCGTTGAAGGTTAGACTTCCTTCATCTAATTCCATGTAGAGTTTTCTATATGAAAATCCAGATGGAAGCCTTCGGTTGTATATGGAACAGTGACCCCAAGTGGACTTGCACAGGCTAGAGGGCAGACAAAGAAAAACAAGAACATGAATATGAAACATGAGAAATGCTAAAACATAAAACACTTTCTTTATTAGTGAAAATTTGAAAAAATATTTTTAATTCTTTTTTTTTTATGCTCACCAAGACTGCAATTATTTAATCAAAAAATAACTTTTTTGTGTGTGTAAACTATGATACGTTACAATTCCAAAGTTTGGGTTAAGTAAGATTTAAACGAAAATTATAATAATAATGCTTTTATTATTTATAAGTGAAAATATAAACATTTATAATGCTACAAAAGATTCCTATTTCAAATAAATGCTGTTCTTTTGAATTTTCTATGCATCAAAGAATCCTGAAAAATCATAATTGTATCATCATTGCATGAATGTATCATGATTTCCAGAAAAATATTAAGCAGCATATAATATAATTAACAAAAGTCATTATTAACAACTGTGTACCACCAATAATAGATAATTAAGCAGCAAATCAGCATATTAGAATGATTTCTTAATTAATTAAATAAATCCTTATTAAATCCCTTTTTTTTAATTGCAGCCTTGGTAAGGATAAAAAATTTCTATCAAAAACATTTTAAAAATTAATTAATTAATAATTAATTAATTATTCCACACTTTTGAGCAGCAGTTTATGTGTTTCTTGCCTCCCTTATGTAGTTCTCCCTCAATTATTATTGAGAAAATATTTGAGAAAGTATTCAGACAAGATTTCATGTGGAAGCTAAACACATCACTAACCCCTGCCACAGGTACTCATCATTGCCCAAGTCCTGCCACACACAGGAGGCCAGGCACAGGTCGGTAGCATTCAGGTAGGAGAGGATGGTGATGCTGAGTTCGGGAGGCATCATCTCAAGATCGATGAAGCCCTGCTCCTCTTTGCCTTTGCGGACACGCAGCAGGTGGCTGATGTCGGTGCCGGACACCTGACACTGTGGTGTGCGGCGCTGCTGCAGCGGCTCAGCCAGTGGGGGCCCCACCCTCCGGTCCCGCTCTCTGTCCCGCTGGAGGAAGCACTGTTCACTGTACTGCTGCTGCAGCTGCTGGTTCCTCGCCACCCTCCACAGACCCTGACCCATCTGCAGATCTGAACAATGTTGCATTTGAGTGAAAATTCAATACATATTACATACATATGTCTTCAGCCCTCAATGCATTAAAATGGTATACTATGATACTAGTTCGTGTATTTAAAGCAGCATTTACACTACTGGTCAAAAGTTTGGAATAAGGGAGATTTTGTTACTGTTTTTTGAAAGAAGTCTTTTTTTGCTCATCAAGGCTGCATTTATTTGATCAAAAATAAAGTAAAAACAGTAATATTGTGAAAAATTACTACAATTTAAAATAACAGTTTTTCTATTTTAATACATTTTAAATTTTCTGAGATGGAAATGCTGAATTTTCAACAGGCATTACTCCAGTCTTCAGTGTTACATGATCCTTCAGAAATCATTCTAATATGCTGATTTGGTGTTTGATCATTATCAGTTATTGGTGATCAATTATTAATGGTTCTTATTATCATCAATGCTGAATGCTATAAATGCTATAATATAAGTGTCTTTACTGTCACAATTTAATGTGTCCTTAATTTTTTTTTTCTTACCCCAATCTTACTTACCCCAAACTGTGGAATGGTAATGGATGACGGTTTCGAAAATATATTAAGCAGCAAAACTTAATATATTTTAAGCAGTGTCACATGATCCTTCAGACTGATTTCTGAAGGATCATGTGACACTGAAGACTGGTGGTATGATGCTGAAAATTCAGCTTTGCCATCACAGGAATACATTTTAAAATAAAATATGTTAAAATAGAAAACAAATTTTCATTTTAAATTGTAATAATACCAAAGTATACCAAATAAAATATAAAATAAAAAAAGTATTCCAAATGTTTGACAATTTACCTTTTCAAATGTACATTTTAGTTTGAAATTGATTAAACTGAGTTCCTGCATTACTGCTGAGCTGTAGAAAACTGATATGTTGCATGTGTAACACTTTTTTTTGTTATTACTGAGAGTTCCGGGTCTTACAGCAGATCAGTTTCTGTTTTTGATTTCATATACATTAAACAAAAGAAGCTGACGTAATCTCAACCACCTGAGACATTTGATATGGACAGGCTATCCTGCTTTTATTTCTTGTTTTGCTGAGAGCACTTGTATATGATGTGATCTCTTTTTGTATTTATTTATTACTAAGTTAAAGCTTTGTGTCTAAAGCCTTTTATCTCTCCGACTTCTAGTGTAAACTAAACCAGAGTAATCCAGAGGCCTTAAGCTCTCAGCACTTTATTCTTGGTTTAGATCATTTCAGTTAGGTCTCCGAATCCTTACCTCATCAGAGCAAAACAGCCTCTAGGAAACTGTTTTTAGTGCTAGTGTGCAGAAGTCAGCTGGGAAATAAAACCCCTGATGGCAGCTTTATCTCCACTGCAGTAGCACTAATCCTCTCGTGGAGATACGCATTAAGCCTTTTTATGTGGCCCAGTCTGACTCCCTCCAAGGGCCTTCCTCTCTAAAACACGTCTCTATATATGAGAGGCCTTGTTATTCTTGTCTTTAATGGCCTCTTGAATGCTCTCTGGTTGCTCTCCTTGTCGCAGAGCCTCTAACATGGCAGCCTTACTTATATGAACTTGACATATACTTGGTCAGAACTGATGTAATGCTACTGCACCTGCTCTTTGGCATTCTGTAGGAGCTTGGGAATTCTTAGACCTGCTTAAAACATGGACCGGAAATCTGAACAAGGTCAATGAACTCTTACAAGCAATTTTCCTCTGCTTTGCCTAAGGGCAGGAGCAGCTCTTAAAAGAAAACTAAAGTATTCTTTTAAATGATTAAAGTTATTATTTTGTTATATTTTTATTGTTATATTTATATTAAAGTTATATTTTGAACATCTTTTTTTTCTGCAAGATATGGTGGATTAGTTAATCTAACTCTTGTTGTGTTTCTATTAAAAGTGAAAGTAAACAGGTCTAGCAACCCCCCATGCAAGTTCTATTTGTGTTACTCTTGACAACAAACTGTTTACTGTAAATTCTGACAATACAATGACAAGCACAAAGTCACTTTTACACTATCTGAAAAATACATTTTAGGTCAGTTGATTAAGCAAAAAGTACTTAAAACGTAGTATAAACCCTGACCTAAATTTTCTGTCTTTATTTGCATATCAGTAGCCTTTCAAATTTTAGCCATAACAAAGGAGAACTCATCTGACACATTTCATAGGCACAAACCATATAAACTTAAGCTCTGAGACGTTGTATATTAATTAAATATATATTATCTAGGGTTTCACTCTACTAATCTTGAGAATGTTATGACTGACATACAAATCGAGGTTTTCTACAGCTTTTATTTTCTAAGCAAAGGTTTTCCATCAAGTTGGGCTGAAGCACAAAGTCCCGCCTCGCTCTAAAACAATTGGTTGAAATGCCAATTTGACACATAAACTCGAACTCTGATTGGACGTTGCACAAAGTGAAGCAGGGAACTCTTCTGTTTTTATTTTTGCAGCGTCAATCGCTCAAAGCAGCACCACCCACCTCTGTGTATAGAAATACTTCTACCGCCGCCGCGACGAAATGACTTGCTGATCTGCCACTGTCTCACGGATGAAATTATCGCAGTCCTTTAACAGGAGCCCAGGACAGCCATCTTGACAGCTCCAACGCTGCGCTGCTGATCGAGGTGAGACAATCCTGTGACACTATCATTCCTCAGCTCACTCGCTCCTCCTGTCTGTCCCTCCCCCTCCTCCTCTACCACTCTGGCCGGACTGACGTTTCTTGTTATGGGTGGAAGTGACGCAAATCTCTCTGAGTAAATGTACCACAGGTACATACACTTGCACTTTCGATTGAAAAGTCCCCCCCACCATGTATGCTTATTTAAAATAAGATAAAATAAAATAAAATAAAATAAAATATAAAACAAATACATGGAATGAAAGAAGCAATGATTAAATCAATAAAATAAATACATAAATCATGATATATTAAATACGTGAAGCAATGGAATAAATACATTGGTAAATAAATAATTTAATGAAATTGCATTACCAAATTTGTAAAAATGTGCTTTAAGTTTAACACAAAACCTATTTAATGGAAAATATTTAAAATAATTAATAGAAGAAGTGAATGTGTATGAATAGAGGCGGGACTATCATCCATGTATGATTAGAAACAGTTGGTGGCGGTATGTGCCTATGGTGCGGAATACGCCAAAAAATTCCAAAGAAGAAGAAGAAGAAGAAGAAGAAGAAGAAGAAGAAGAAGAAGAAGAAGAAGAAGAAGAAGAAGAAGAAGAAGAAGAAGAAGAAGAAGAAGAAGAAGAAGAAGAAGAAGAAGAAGAAGAAGAAGAAGAAGAAGAAGAAGAAGAAGAAGAAGAAGAAGAAGAAGAAGAAGAAGAAGAAGAAGAAGTGAATGTGTAGAAGTGAAACACTGGTTTGAACAGTCGTCTCCGGTGCGTAGAAACCAATCACAACAAACCTGAATATTTCAGCGGCAAAAACAAACAGGAGGAATAAGCAATAACTCTGGATTACTATAAAATTCAACTTTCGGTAAGACACAAAGTTGTTAATGTATTACAAACGCTAATCAGGTACGAAATAAAATCAAGTAAAACAAGATGTACTTGTTAAAACAACATGCCAATATCTTTTTACATTGCATGGTCAATGAATGGTAAATTGACAGCGGTAACTTATGTATTTAAACATAATAATAAAAATGCAATTCCTGATGAAATCCGTCCTGACAATCACAGAAATGACCACTGGTGATCTGAAAGGATGTCTGAGAAAGCTGGAAGCGTCTCTCCGTTCTATCAAGTATCCCAGAGAGGTGGACTATCAAAGGTACGAAATATTGATGCATGTTAAAGGAAGAGTTCAACCAAAAATAACAATTCTCTCCTTATTTAATTAACTTGATGTTTCTGGAATCTAGAATAACTAACTATCTTCCGTGGAACACAGAGACATGGAGATGTCAGTCCCTAATATATATATATATGAGACTGATATGTGTATATATATATATATATATATATACACACACACACACACACACACATACATGTGTGTATATATATATATATATACATACAGTATATGCACACACAATATTCATACATACAAACATGAACTTTGAACGTGTCCTTTTTTTCATATGTTTCACTTTTTAAAAATGTAGAAATTCATCTATGACTGGATTAAACCGTAATTAAATTCAGTTGCCAACTTATTCTACTCAGGGAAATTCAGGTGTTCAGGTGATCATTCTGCGCAAGACATTTTCCTAATTCATGTACATGGGCATGACTCTGATCATACCTGTGTAAAAATGACTGGTAGTGAAAAATTTGCAGAGTGAGCATTTTATAAATATTAATTCTTATGCAGCATTCATGTTAGCACTCTAAAAGATAATTAAACAAGATCATTGCTTGCTCTAAATATTATTGTGAATGAGTCTTATGACAGCCCTTTTATGTTTGGGTGACCTAGAGGGGGAGAAGGAAGTATTGGCTGGGGGAGGTAAGGTTCAAGTGGTTGATCAGCTGTCAAAGAGACACCCTGAGGTCTTCATTGTGGAAATGGGAAAAAAAGTGTGATATGGTGTTTTTCTTATATCCATGTCATGTCATGTAGGGGGACACACAACATCAGTTTAGCAGAATTAGTGAATCGAGTTCCACTGATTGGAGTCTGGGTTTCTGCACAGGATCTTTGGCAGTAGTCCAAAATAGAATTCTGCTGCGTACATGGAAACATGCTTGACAAGAGGGTGCAGAATATAGGAAATGAAATTCAAAATGTTTGTTTACCTTGTATATCTTTGCTATTTAAAGCAGGTTTTAGCCTCTATATATTTTCCTTGAACCTCAATTAAATGGTACCCCCTCTAGTAAAATGTGACCACAGGAACAAATCCTAGATTTTGAGTAGATACAAATATCCTTCACTTCACAGGACTCAATCTAAGCGTTATGAATCCATAGCTCTTCTGAATGACTTTTTCATATGCAGTCAACGGAGATGATATATGCGGGATGTAATTCATTAGACATTGACGTCCCCAATTCCACCCCCACTTTTTTTGGCCTAGGTTTTAAACATCTTGACTCGTATAAACATCCAAAATGGGGCTCTGCCAGTGTTTCATGTCCCATATTTTGTTTTGAAGTTTGGAAAGTTGAAGACTTGTCCGGAACCTCTCCAGTGCTGAGATATTTTGTAAACAGGCTTTACAAAAACCAGCTCTGTTTCTCCACCAGGATCCCAAGCTGCACATCAGATGCTCAGTGAAGAGGTTTTGATGTGAGATCCATCAAACACAACATGCTTCTCGAAAAAGACAGATCCATTTGGCTTGTATGTGCTGGAGATGATCCAGAAAGATGACTTAATTTGTCTCCAGCACGACACTCAAAATAGCTTGCAGACAATTTAAGACGGTTATTTTGTGCTGCCATGTTATTAATAAATACATTTTATAATTGATTTAAAACCTTTATGCGGTGTTGATTTTGTGACACTTTTTAATGAGAGGTTTGTCAATACCAGTGCTTCATAATTTGATGTTGTGTTTTACTCTTCCAGACTGGCTGTGGGAGATCCATCAGCTTGTCTTCCTATTGTGAGCTTTGCCTTCACGTCCTTTTCCCCCTCACTCACAGAGCACCTGGTTGATTATGGTGTGGAACTAACCGGAATGAATGATTTACGATTTATTGAGAATGTTTACAAGGTGAATTGCATTAACCATATATTATATTGTTTATTATGTAGCTTATTATGCATATATTGTACATATAGCCTTTTAACCGAACTTTGACTTAAATATTTGAACACAATTACAATTCATTTATTTGTTAATGCATTTCTTTTTCTTTTTCTTTTTTTGTCCTGCAGAATGCAAAAGAACGTATTTTAAAGAATATTGTAACCAAACAGTTTTGCTGTCCATTGACAAAAAGAAACACAGGAAAACATTGTTTCAAAATATCTTCTTTTATATTCCACAGAAAAAGAAACCAAGACTTAATGATGACAGAATTTAAATTTGTGAACTATGCCTTTAAAATATATTCATCCCATTCATGGTTTAGGCTTGGGGTTATTGGATCATTTTTATTTGAAATCAACAACAGATCTTTATTAGCATGCATCTTTTTGCAACCCCCTTTAATTGGATTTTTATTAACTGTTTGCAGTTTCTTGTGCTTGAGCTTGTGGTTTTAAGGAATTGGTTGTTTTAAATAGATCAAAGTGGTTGCAGTTGCTTTGTCTTATTCTCGAGGACAGAAAGTTAATTTTTCGAGGTCAAACAATACAGAGTTTAGAACTATGAACGAGTCATTGATAATGTTTTTCACTCCGCCTTTAATGAGGTGGATTTCTTTTTGAAAAAGCAATTTCACATGTAATGAAATTCACAAAGCCAGGCTTTGTGTTGCCTGTCCTAATTAGCCTTATTTATTGGCACTGTCCCTGATCTGGGAGGGTTTTACCCCCACATCAGAAATGCAGGTCTCTCCAGAGCTCTGTGATTCACAGCATCATATTCTCCAGCAAAGCATTCAGATGTTGAACTGGCAGCTCTTCTCCACCAAGTCTTGAGTAATTACAATTGTCTGCTCACGTCTCTCTCCTGCAGTGAGAGAACAAAAAAAGGGGGCAGGCCTTTATGTTGGTCCAAGTCGTCTGATCTCAGATTAACTCAAAGCCGATTCTGTACGTTTAGCCGTGGGACTGAAGCGCTGCTCTGTCCTTCAGCACTTCCTTCTGTTCATTGACCTTTCATGCAGTTCTAAAATAGATCTGGCCTTCATCCCAGGATAATGTGCAGCTCACATGAAATATTCTGGGGGGAATAAGTGGTCCCATCATGTTACCTTGAGGACCTTGGTGGCATTTAACAGGAAAGTGGTGTTTAGCAGTTTTGTCATATTTTTCCATTCGTCATTTTCCCTTTGCGCTACAGCTCACTGTTTACATCTGGCTTTTCCTTGTGATTAGTCTTGGTGGCTCCTCTGGAGTACCTCCTGAACCAGAAATTCTACAAATCCAATTTTTTTTGCGATTTTAATCCACTTAGGGGAGCATTTCCTTCCAATTCTTTTAATACATTAAACCCCACAAATAGTATTATTGATTTATTTGTATCTTCATGTGAAAATCTCTTAAAATGTAGGTCTTGCGGGATGTTTTCAGCTATAAGCCACTGTTGACCAAACAGCAGTTCCTTCAGTTTGGCTTTGCAGAGAGGAAAGTTATCATTCTCTGTGATATCATTGGCCTTGTTCTCAACAAACACAAAGATCTCACTAAAGAAAGCAAGGTATTCCAAAGATTTAACCATGCAGGTTTTCTTATATAGAGATATGGTGCCATTAAATTATTTCAATTATTGGCCAATATTTGAAAATTTTTATTTATATTTAATATGATCTATTATTTATTTATTTAATTTAATTGATATGATTTATTTTAGTTTTTGTGTGTTTTAGTTTTAATCTATTTAGATATAATAATAATAATAATAATATTATAATATATACTGTAATATCAGACATTTATTGGTTATTGGCCATAATGTAATAGGAAAATAATTTTCAGCTAATAAATTATTATATTATATTATATTACATTACATTACATTACATTGCATTACATTGCATTGCATTATATTGTGTTAGTAGAAACATTGTTTATTCTGTTTTCTTACAGCATGTCAGTAAGCCAAAGAGAAGGCCTCCGTTCAAGAGCTGCAGTAAAAATGAGATCCCTTCTGCTGAGAGTAACTCTCTGCGGTTAACAGACCTGCCAGTAGGTGTTCATGTTTCGGACAATAAACAAAATTGTTTTGATAATAATAATATTAATAATATTTATTATTACTATTATCAGTGTTTCTGTCCCTCTTAGGTACCTCAGAAGCAGCCACTGGTAGAAAGGCATCTTGGCAGCAGCTCAGTACCAGCTCAGATCAGATGCTCCTCAGAAGAGGAGCCACAGCAGGATGAGGAAACAGAAAAGGACTCGTCTCAGCCTGAAGATTCCATTGTGAGAATGCGCATCCTGCAACACATTTACACAGAGGGAGGTGCATGAGAATCAACTAGTCAAGCATACATTATGCACAAAGTAGTCTGCATTTATGGTTGAAAGAAAGTGTGAAACACTACGAGAACCATTATTGGTGACAATGGTTGTGATTAAAACAAAATATAAATTAGACATACACTGCTGTTATTTATTTTATTTTTCTTTAATCTTTTTAAATCCTTTTCACCCCAAATGGATTTGGGGGAATAATTTGCTCATTTTTAATGTGTTAGAGAACTCAACTACAGACTAATTCAAAATGCCAATTCCTAGAAGTTCTTGTTCAATCCAATGTAATGCACAGGCTGTCTTGTTAGGAGTGTGTTTTAGAGAGCCGGCTGAGGGGTGTAGAAGCAAGTCTTCTGGAGAGTGTTGGCAGACTGGAGCAGCGATTGGCCCTTATGGAACTCAGGATTCATGCTCTGGAGAAAAGCTTTGCTGGCAAGATTATCATCAAAAGCAACCAGTGGGAGAACTTGGAGAGTCGCGTGCTGCTGCTGGAGACCAGGCTGGCACTGACCTCAGCACAGGTACAGGAGTTTAACATCTGTTTGGAGGTTTGGAACTGTACACTTTAATTTCTATTGCTATTGTGGCATAATGCTGCTTTCTCCCAAAACTCACTTTGATGATGAAGCTTGCATTACGTGATGAAAAGCAGTGACATTCTCCAGCGCAGATACACATGCACTAGCAAAGCTCTCACATGTGTTAGTTTCAAAAATGGGAAATTCATTTGGAAAATACAGTATTTTAGGAAGACTGCAAACCACTTCTTTCAACAGGTCAAATGCCAGTATACAGCAACTGATGTGTTCAGGAAAGATACGTTTTAAGTAATTCAACATCCTAACGGTTCATGAGCATGTTATTTTAGGATTTGTTTTAAAATGGCAAGCTGACATTGCAGAAGTAGTGAATATAAGATGAGTTAATGTGTTTTATGGTGCTTACAAAACAAAGTTTTCTCTACTTCTATAGGGTCTAACTTCAGGAGATGATGTCTTTAGCACAGACAATGGTAGATTCAAAGAGGACACAGGTAATTGGCAACATTTTAGCTTTAAAATTGTAATAATTTAAAGAAACTATACATTCCTTAAATCTAAAATTGTTTGAATTTTCCATTTGTATCTGTGTTAAAGTATCTGCAAGTGGCATTTCTACTGTGATTCATCCACCATCTGACATCAGTGATAATGGACACACTCCAGCCAGTTCTCCTCTGACAGCTCCCCAGGTGACTCCATCCATCCAAACCCATCCATCCAATCACACCCACCCATCCATCCATCCATCCACCAACCCATCCATCCATCCATCCAATCACACCCATCCATCCATCCAATCACATCATCCACCCATCCATCCATCCATCCAATCACACCCACCCATCCATCCATCCAATCACATCCATGCATCCATCCATCCACCCATCCAATCACATCCATCCATACATTCATCCATCCAATCACACCCATCCATCCTTCCATACATCCATCCATACATTCATCCATCCAATCACACCCATCCATCCATCAAATTTTCAAGAGAAGTTTAATCTAATAACTGCTATATATTTTTTTTTCCTTTCTGTTTCTTAGAATTTTAAAGAAAGGCTGGACAGAATAGTTTACATGTAAGTGTTATATAAATAGTTTAGCATTTCTCTTGAAGGGTTGTGATTTGTGTGTGATAAAGAAAAATGGTAAATTAGACACAGGACTGCACATCAATACATTTTTTTTCTGTCCCATTTCAGGATGAAGGATACATCTAACATTCTGCAAAACATAGAATCGACGATGTAAATTTGATCACAGTCCAGAGAAACTTATTTTAAAGGAATAAAATTTCTGTCATTATTTACTCACCCTCATATTTTTCCAAAATTAGTGTGACAAAGACTTTCTGATAAACAGACCAAAACTAATTCATTAAAAGTCTTGCCTAACACCGTAGGGTTATGGTATGGTGGAACTGTATTTCGAATAAATTGGATGGAAACTTTTTATCAGTCATTCGTTTTTGTGTCTCATGACAAAAAATCATTAGTGCCACATGTGGCACCATATTTGATTGAGAGTTTTCAGAAGTGACAGGTTTTCACTGAAAAACTCCTACATTTCTGTCCGTGTCTCACCCAAAGGTGTTTATTATTATTATTATTATTATTATTAATTATAATATATTTTTGTGAATTTTGTGAATTTTCATAGGAAAGAGCTGTGTGAAGTGTTCCAGTGAAAAAAAAACAAAACGTAAAAGACTGTGAAGGGTGAGAAAATGCTTTTTTTGGGGGATTGTGATTCTGTGTCTTGTCCTCTAGATGTCACTGCTACCCAAGTAAAACCTAATGGTAAATTAGTTCATGGCGCCCTCTGAAGTCAGTTTTCTGTATTGCACTCTGTCCTGAAAGCAGCATCAGTCCATTGCCACACAACAGTTGTGCATTCACTTGAATATCAGATAAAGTAAAAGTGTGTAATGACTGGATTATATCTTTGTGTATTAATAATAATGCCATGTATTTGTTATTGCTCTATTCTTTCTTTAGAACATGCTCAAAAATAGAGAAATAAATCTGAGTGTATGAAGTTTATTTTAAATTTCCCTCCTGACCAGTTCGGTTATGACACGTCCCAGTTACGAAATACCACAATCATTCCAAAACTCCCAAGTGTTTTTCCCCCCACTATTTAGCCACCATTTAGGTGCCATGCTGGGTTTAGTCAGGTGTATGTCGTTTTTCCACAATGTATATAAACATTGTGGCTCTGTGGCGCTAATAAAACAGTGCTTTGTTTGTTTGAGCATCCTGAATAGTTTACGGCATAGGCTCAACCAATGGCACGAGTTTTGGACGTGACTCTGTGTTCGGGGGCATGTTTGTGAAACTTGTTTAATGATTATTTTCTGTTTGGTGATGTTAGTAGCACAGAAATACTTCACCTGAGAAACATTCTCTTGTTCTGATCCAGGGCCATTTTCCCCCCATATTTTCCTTTTACATGGAGTTAAATGTTGTACTTTAGGCGACAGTGATCACACAAAGGGAATTGTATCAAATTTCCAATTTATGGGTCTGTGTTCGCATAATTCAGGAATCTTTGACTCCTGATATAGGACAAACTTGCAATGTATTTTTTTCATGTTATTAATATTTGTTAGTAATCTGAGTAAATTTCTGAGGTCAGGTGACCTTTGGATGGTCTCTTGGTGTTGGGTGTCATTGTACAAGATATCACATTTATCAGATTTCAGTTTGCGTAAAAAAACCCCCAAAAACTTGAAAGATCTGTCTTTGACCTAGCAATGTCTCAAAACAAGACATCAGAGGTCTGACTTGTTGGTCTCACAGGACAACTTTACCCTTCTCATATTTCTTTTTTTTGTACAATGCAATGATGTAAAGCTGTTTTTCATCAGTGGTCTTTCTCTCTGCAATTGACAGCACAGAGTGGGACACTGACCTCTGAACGTTCTTCCAGACGTTCCCTTCAGTGCCCTATATACTGCAGACACTATGAGAATCACTCTGTTGAGATCAATTGGACACAAAGCAATCATGGAGAGGAAAAGAAAGGTCAGATGACCTTTGTAATTATGTTGAAGGAGAGTGTGTGCACGTGTTTGTGTGGTTGGTTAACAGAGCATGCTTGTGACTTTCTTGTATGTATGTATGTTTGGTGTGTGTATTGAATAGGAGTCAGAGTTGGGAGGGATGCTCACACAGATTGTTTGGGAACTGACGTGTGTCTGTCTGAACAGCTGGAGCTCACTAAACTGAAGGGGCTGCACATTGTCTTCACTAGCCACAGGGTTTTGCTGATGCCTGCATATGAGTCACTGATGTGTTTTTATTATTATTAAAACAAAAATATATTAAAATGCAATGTTTGTAAATTGCAATTACATTTTTTTAAATGTCACTAACAATTTCACAGAATGTTTAAAATGTGAAATTTCTGGGCTAAAATTCATCTTGAGATATATATATAAAAACTAAGAAAGTACTACGCAAGTACTTTGACCATTTATTTTTCTTACATTTTAACTAAGCTGCTTTACTTTTTAATATCTGAAAAAGTTTAAAAACGTTTTGAATCCAAACATTTCCAAGAACTTGCCAGACAACATTAAAAGTTTTGTTCATGTTCATATATGTCATTGACTCATATCCTGACCTTGCTACATAACATCATAACTTGGGCCCCAGAAACCCCCTGCGGAATCAACAGGCCTCTGTCAGGGGCCAGATGTGAATAGAAAAGGCTTTAAAAAAAAAAAAAAAAAAAAAATCTTTGCTTTGCTCTCCTTGTGACTGCATGCAGGTTTTCTCAGTATAGTTGTATCTTGTGGGAGTAAATGTTACAGTTGTTTTTTTTTTGTTTATTTATTATTCTTTTTATTTTATTTTTTTAATCAGTCCAACTAGAAACAACATAGTTTTTAATGGGTTTATACAACAAATGCTTTGAGAATGAAATAAATCTGGATTTGTCAGATTGAAAGAACCATGTAGTAGCAAGTTAATTAGATATACTAGAAATTAGAAATATATTATTTCAAATAAATTCTGTTCTTTTGAACTTTCTATTCATCAAAGAATCCTGAAGAAACAGTATCACAGTTTCCACAAAAATATTAAGCAGCACAACTGTTTTCAACATTGATAATAATAATATTTCTTGAGCAGCAAATCAGCATATTAGAATGCTTTTTTCAAGGATCATGTGCTGAAGACTGGAGTAAGGGCTGCTGAAAGTTTTGTTATTTTAATTTTGTTTTGTTATTTTGAGTTATTTCAAAATATGAGTTTACGGTCTTGGTGATCATAAGAGGCTTCTTTCAAAAACATTAAAAAACCCAAACTTTTGTGAGACTAGAACAGATGATCTCATAATTTTTTTTTATTAGGCTCATCAAATCTCCATTCCATACCATCAACTTCTGCAGTCAGTTTGTTTGGGCTAAACTTTAGAGCACAGGTACAAGCAGCACACCTAATTTGAAATCTGCTCAGCCATTTTGACATGAAGACTGACTTGAGTGAAAATAAAGTGTCTCACAACATTCAAGACAATTAGACTTTTAAACTGGGAAGCTTGCTTTACTTTTCGACTGTAACTGGATAGTTTGGAGCTGGACCATGATGTAATGTGTTACATGGTTCCTAGTTGAATAAGAACAGATTGCAATAATAATCCTGCTCAGGTCTTTATTTAAAAAAAAAAAAAAAAAGGAAAGAGGGAATGAAA